AGACCAGCGCATGACAATCTTATGACGGTTGGGACATTTTGATATATTTGCAACACTCCTATAAAAAATGAAGTGGCAGAAGCCACACTATCGTTGGGATTCCCTGGAGAACAGAGTCTGCAGGGAGATTTGTAGGCAGGATCTTTGAGGTGCCCTCTTGGGAGCCAGTGACCTTGTGAGGGCCTGAGGGCAGAAGGACCTGCAGGCAGAGCTGGCTGTGATGTGGGTGTTGCAGCAGCCTCAGTGGGCTCAGTTCTGAGCAGAGATGGCCTTTCTCAGAGGACCTGCTCTGAGGTAAGGAGCCCAGGCTTTGCACCTTCCAGGGAGGGCAGGTGACCTCAGATGAGGCAGCGTTCTTTGCTGAGGGCAGTTCCCGAGAAGGGACCCGTCTGGGAGGTGTTGGCAACAGGTACTCCAGGCAGCTGGGGGGTGAGGGCCAGGTGCAGAGGGAGATCCAGGCAGTACACAAGCGTCCACAAAAGCAGTTATTTAATTTTATTTTTATTTATTGTTATTTTGGGGGGGAGGGGCAGAGGGAGCGAGAGAGAATCTTAAGCAGGTTCCACACCCACTGCAGGCCCCACAGAGGGCTCAATCTCACGACCCTGAGATCATGACCTGAGCCGAAATCAAGAGTCAGACACTTAACGGGACTGAGACATCCAGATGCCCCACCACCAAAGCAGTTATTAAGTTGCTTATTTTCTCTTCTTCTTGAATATGGATACTAACAAAAGGAAAGGGAAAGTGGGTAATCCCCCCAGACTAGGAGGTCCACGCAGGGTTCCACTGTCTTGCCGGTGAGGACTTGAGAAGCGTTTGTCGTAACCACCAGATTTCTATGATCCCTCCCATTCCCTGACAGAGGACCTCTTCTGAATTGCATCCTATGCTTAGCATTGATTCACTCTTCCACATTTTCAAAACGGCAGTCTTATTTGCGGCCCCACTGAGTCCAGATTAAGCAACTACGATTTTAGCAGTATATTGCCATCTCTCTCTGATGTGCTCTGGGAGAGGCTTGAGTGCACTTCTTTCTCCAGGCAAGATACTTTGGACAGACCAAATTACATCTCCTTGAAATAATGTCTGCAAGGGAGAAAGCAAGTGGCGCTAGCGTTGGTGATCTGGAACTTCCACAGAGTACGCTGCTACACTCTCACATGAAAGTGGGTCTTAGCAGCTACTTAATTACTTTTTAAATGCTTTTGGGGATTTTCTGGTTCTCAGAGGGTTTTTTGAAGGAAAAAGTTTTTAAAATTCAGCTTTATTGAGGAAAAACTGACAAAAAAAATTGTAAGATATTTAAAGTATACATCGTGGTGATCTGACTTACGTATGGTGAAAGGATTCGCTCCATCTAGTTAAACATATGTATCACCTCAAATCTTTATTTCTTTTTCTTTTATGAACACATTTAAGTCCTACTGTAGCAAATTTCAAGTGCACAATACAGTGTTAGCAACTATAGTCACTACGTTATACCTGAGATTCTCAAACCTTATTCATCTTATAGCTGAACTTTGTACCCTTTTACCAAACTCTCCCTATTTCCCCACTGTCCCCAGCCCCAGACAACCACCATTCTTCTCTCTTTCTGCAAGTTTGAACTTTTTTTTTTTTTTAGATTCCACGTATAAGTGACACCAGACAGTATTTATCTTTCTCTGACTTATATCATAATGCCATCAAGGTCCATCTATGCTGTTGCAAATGACAGGATTTCCTTCTTTCTCATGGCTGAGTAATATTCCATTATAAATGTGTATCACACCTTCTTTATCCATTCATCCGTTGACGGACACTATACTTCCCTGTCTGGCTATTGTGAATAATCCTGCAATGAACATGGGGGTGCAGACATCTCTTTGAGATACTGTTTCATTTCCTTTGGATATATTCCCGGGAACGGAATTACTGGTGGATCATATGGTAGTTATATTTTTAGTTTTTTGAGGAACCTCCACACTGTTTTCCACAGTGGCTGTACCAGTTTGCATTCCCACCAACAGTGCATGAGGGTTTTCTCCACATCCTTGCCAACACTTATTTCTGTCTTTTTGTTAATGGCCATTCTGACAGGTGTGAGGTGATATCTCATTGTGATTTTGATTTGCATTTCCCTGATGATGAGTGATGCTGAACATCTTTTCATGTACCTGTTGACCATCTGTATGTCTTACTTGGAAAACTGTTTATTCGGGTCCTCTGCTCATTTTTTAATTGGATTTTTTTCTAGTGGGTTATATGAGTTCTTCATATATTTTGTATATTAATTCCTTATATGATTTGCAAATATTTTCTCCCATTCCATAGGTCACCTTTTCATTTTACTGATGGTTTCCCTTGCTGTGCAGGAGCTTTGTAGTTTGCTATAGTCCCACTTTTTACTTACTTATTCATTACTTTTGCATTTTTTTAAAGGGGGGGAGGGGCAGAGGGAGAGGGAAAAAGAGAATCTTAAGCAGAAGCCACACCCAAGCATAGAGCCCGACAAGGGACTCAATCTCACAACCCTGAGATTATGACCTGAGCCGAAATTAAGAGTCAGACACTTAACCAACTGAGCCACCCAGGTGTCCCACTATAGTCCCACTTTTAAAAAAATTTTGCTTTGCTTTTGGTGTCACGAAGGAAAAAAATCTTAAGAACAAAACAGATTCAGTTCAAAAAGTGAATTGCTATTAACATTTGTCTTCTCTCTTTATGTCAACAGCAAAAATAGATTGGTCTTTAAATACTTTAATGTGCTGAATAAATCCTATGAAACAACATAATTTAATCAATGCCTCTAACATCTTTTTTAATGGTCATCATTTATATTACTTTGCGCATAAGGAATAACTTTAATCTTAAATTCTTGAAATATTGAAGTCAGTTGCTCAATAAAAGAATAGTTTACAAGAAGCTATGCATTTCTTTTTCCTAATGCTTAGCTGAAATGGTGTCAGTAAACAATGTATTTTCTTTAAATGTGCATGCCCCATTGAAAACTTATTGGAGAATTTTCTAGAAGCTGGCACCTGTTACCCCAGAGAGCATGGATCCAGATTTGTTGTATCCCATGTCCCAGGAGCTCCCCAGCACCTCTCTTTTTGCCACGTGTCCTTCGCGGTCCGATGTCAGCACCTTGGGTGGGCTTGCCTCTGGAGGAAATTCCGACAGCGACCTTGTAAATTAGAAAAATAATAGTGAGTCAAAGGCTCTATCTATGAAGCTAGATGAATCATGGAGGAGGGAGAGCTGAACACTCAGGCAGGGGAGTGCTCCAGGTTCTCCCTGAGGTTCTGGCATTGCTCTGAGGTCAAGGTCACTGTCATTTCTCTAAAGGAGGGTGGCCACCTGCCCGTCCCCGGGAGCTGAGTGGTAAGTGAATGGATGGGCTTGGAAGGGCCTGGGCACACCATCCTGCAAGGTCATCGTTTCTCAGCCCAGGCAGCTCCTGCCATGCTGGAGGGTTGGAGCTACTGATTTTTCAGGAGAAGCCAGAATCTAGACATTTTAATGTGACCATTCTCAAATTTTACATGTTCGAACCATTTACATTTCCTTTAAAAGCACAGTGTGGGAAAAAAAAATAGGTGTAAGGCTGGTTTTGGCCCACAGGCTTCACTGTGCATGCTCTTCATAGCCGCTCGTTGGCATTGTGGTTGACGTGGCACAGAAGGGAGGGGACCCTTCCTGGGACGCACTACCTGTCTGCTGCACGTGTCAGCGGGACACGGGACAGGCATCCCACCCTGGCACGCCGAGAACCCATGACATAGAGAGGACTCGAGCTATGCTGCTGGCCAGACTCCTCACAGGATATATTTCTCTATGTGATTTCAGACAAACACACGTGATTCATGCAGTGGAGTGGTTTGTGCAGAAGGTGCCGCAGTGCCCCTCAGAGACTCTGCAGCCAGGACAAGCAGTTCCACCCAAGGCACCAACATCTGCTCGCTTGGCGGGTCCCCTGCATCTGCCATTCGTTTCCTTGTGCTGCCACTGGCATTGGAGGCTCATTTTGTGTGGTCCCACAAGGACGGAAGAAAGCCAGCAAGCATGCGGATGGCCTTCTGTTTATATGTGCACAAAAAGGGAGAGATTTTCACCATCTTTCCCCATCTGCTGTGCTGATGAGGACCTTCACAAATGGGGAGCCTCAGAAGCAGGGACCTCTCTTCCCAAGTAGGAATCAAGGAGCTGAGAGGCCCTGCTCAGCAGCCACACTTCCCGAAACGGGGCCTGCTGGCTGCCTCAGTGTGGGGGAAGGTCAGAAGGTAGAAACCAAGGGAACGAACTGAGGAAAGGAACGCTCGTCTTCTTGCACCCAGCAAAATCTGCACTTTCTCAGCATTTCTGTGAATTGGAAACCTAATTATTCTAAGGATAACACAAAAAGCTAGAGTAAGCCATGGCTGTCTTATACCCTTTATCTCCCATAGGAACACGCTTACTTGTCAAGCACGCGACGTGAGCTCACTCTCAATCTGGAAGCGCTGCTGCACGTCACCCCCACAGAAGCTCTGATTGCATCGTCTGTGCAGTGCTGAATCGGTGGAAGATTTCCCTGGGTGAGAGTCACATAGTTGGCCTGTCAGGAAATGAGCACATTCATACTTAATTGCCACATAAGTGCCTTCAGCTCTTTCACTCCGGAATTACCGAGCGAAAATCTTCAGCTAGGACTAACTCTTTTCATGCCGCCTGGCTGTGAAGCCTTGTGTTACATGTACCTGAGGAGCCTCCCTTTATGAAGGTCACTTACCACAAGCTAATGTATGGGCCTGGCTCTGGGGACGGATCCCATCGGTTGGGTCATCCACTGGAAGGGCCACAATGAGGTAGAAAACTCATCTTCATGTCGCCAAGCAAACTGGTAGCAGACGGATCCCTGAGTCCTGTTAGGGAAATCCATTTTAAAAGACCAGTGAGTTTAAATAGCCAAGGCATGAAAAATAATTAAAAATTCTTATTTTCTTCATCTCTTTACAGTATTTCAGGTGCTACAACTATTGATTTTCTGCTCAAGCCTATGATTACACTGCTGTCACATAAGCTGACATGGGCATTAAGCAAATGGTATTTTTGTTGCTGAAGCAGGTTTCAAAAGCCAGGCACATAGATTGTACCAGAGTGTTTTAATAGGTGCTTTTAAATGGGGTTGCAACAGAACTAAAACCATTTTCAAAGCCAAGAGCAAATCAATGTGTAATCTGATCCAGATAGTTCTCAGATACAGGCTTCCAAGGACTATGGGCCTCATACTCCTACAGTGAGAGAATATAAATTATACACTTTTTACTGTAAGACTTGAATGTCAGTCAATAGAATCAAAGAAGGATCAACAGATGTAACAAGAGCGGACGATTTCAAGAACTGGTTCAAAAGATTATGGCCTGGTTTCTTCTGATTCTGCGGCTCTTCAAAATAGATCCTTTGGAAGTAAGTTTCTTTTTCTTTTTCTTTCTTTTTTTTTTTTTTTTTTTACAGTCTTGAGGTCTTTTATTTTCTTTACATTTATCACGCTATGAATTCATAGGGAATGGGTTCCAGCAGTTTGGGCTCCTTTCCATTGGTTCTCACAAAGAGTGCTTCTCTGGCTGGGGGTAAGTAAGTTTCTTATTACAGTATTTTCTTACTTCATTTGGCTTGTTTTTGATGGAAAAAAATGTTTAAACATTTTTTTCTCTATTTTCTCTAGATTTTAATTTAAATGCATTGATGACTTTTCTTACTAAAATCACTGGAACCAATTTTTAACCTCCCCAAAGACATCTCTGGAAAGCTTCTATATCACCTTTCCATTGACAAACTCCAAAACGTGAATTTGGATTTGGTTTTTCAAATGTCAGAACAGTGGCTTCTTGGTTTTGTTTTGTTGTTGTTGTTTTTAAGCTAGGAATATTATGAAAAATCATACTTTTTTGGAGGGGTGTGAATTTCTAGAAGTTACACTGTTATTTTGCCTCAGTTTCAAGGGGATGCAAGAGTAGGCATGCCTGGGCTCTGGACGCCACTCACCTGCCTGGAAGAGCAGGTGCCCCTCTGTTCCCCCAGCCTCTGGGGCCTCCCTTCCGTCCTCAGCTGCGGTATGTTGCAGATTGCCTCCTAAGCAGTGCCTGGTGGACATCTGCATGGTCATTTACAAAATGCCAAGAAGATACTTCAGGAATATATAACGGATTTCCCCCCAAAATGTTCATATTAAAATAACACTAGTTTATAAAGGGTATAAACTCCCGTTTTTGTGAATAATGGCATTTTCCTAGCTTTTATTCCAAAATGAAAAGGAAAGCTGGTTTTCTCAGGCTGAGGAATGCCATGGTGACAGTTTAAGGAACGCCTGATTGAGTGTAATAATGAAACAGAGAAACATGGAAGCCTGAGAGATGTGTGCTTAGGGATTGGAGGTCAGACTGGACTTTCAGGATGACCGTCCCAAATATCCAACAGCACGAGCTTTTCACTGAGATTTTATTTTTCAATTTAGTCCACTTGGTGGCTATTGTTGTTGTTGTTGTGATTTTTGTGGCATGAGGAGGAAACATGTTTCTGGACAGGGTGTGTGGTGGCCCTGGTGGTGCTGAAGCCGCTGTGTGGACGCCTGGAGCCCCTCAGAGCAGCTGTGATGGAGGGCACACCTCCTGCTCCATCCTCAGAACTGCGGGAGTGGCTTTTCCCCCCGCACACATGCACTGCGGTTCAGGGAACTCCCGCACAACTGACCCAGTCTAACTGTTCTTGCCCGCTTGTCCCCAGCGTTGGCTCACCACCACATCACTCCATTCTTGCTGAGCACATTTGAACATCTCATAGGACACTTATTAAAAAAAAAAAATCAACCAACAGTGTAAAGTATAATTTACATAAACAAAATGCATCCCTTTTCCACAAAAGTGCACAGAGAACACTGCCATCCCCAAGATGTTTTCTGTGGCCTGCAGTCCATCTGTCTCCACGCGCCCTCGCTGGCGCCAGAGAGCCGCTAATCTGGTCTCCATGACTACGGAGCAGCTTCCCCCGCATCCCAGAACCCTGCGTAAGTGGACTCCTGCATCCCATGTGTGCTGCGTCTGGCTCCTCTAGAACCACACAGTGTTTCTGAGATCTATCGATGTTGCTGTGTATCAGCAGCTGATCGAGTTTGTTGTCGAGTACTGTTTCATTATATGAATGTACCACCCTTGGTTTTCCCATTTTCCTGTTGGTGGACATTCAATTGTTTCCTAATTGGTGTTTCCTGTTTGTAGTTTGGAAAATGCTGGTGTTGAGGAATGTTATGAGTAGACTGTTACAGAATCACACACACTCGGAAGCCATGACAGCCTGTGACAGGGTTCCCGGGGAAGCAACTGGAAAAGATGCTTCATCAGTATTTCAATCATATTCACATACAACAAGGGTGGTCTGCAACAATTTTTGTAGTGATTGGTAACCTACACAGATATTTTATGCAAAAAAGTAGATACTCTTATGACAAAATCTCAAAGGTGTATAGCTTATCAATTTATTTAGTCATTTTCTCTGAAGAAGAATTAAAAATTTGTTTCCATAGACTTTTAAAACATGTAATTTCCCTCAGTAGAGATGAAGTTGTTGCCATAACTAAATTCTAAAATTTATGTGAAAAAAAAGAAAAAATAAAATTTATGTGAAGAGGCAGTTGAACAAATAAATTTTTTAAAAGATTTTCTTTATTTATTTGACAGAGAGAGAGTGAGCACAAGCAGGGAGAAGGAGAAGGAGAAGAGGCTCCTCCCTGAGCAGGGAGTCTGACGTGGGGCTCGATCCCAGGACCCCGGGATCATGACCTGAGCCGAAGGCAGACGCTTAACCAACTGAGCCACCCAGGCGCCCCTGAACAAATAAATTTTAAAAGTTCAACCAGCCAACTGAGAAATTGGTTGACTTTTATGACTAAAGTGACCCAACTGTTGTATGAATGAGCTTACCTTGGTGTCTGTGTGTCTGGTGGGGACACAGACTCCAGGCTCGGAGGCTTGGAATAGGGGGCTTAGGGGGCACTCAGGCCATTGTACACTGGGGCATATGAGGGACCAGTAAAAGGTGGTATAGAATTTCCCAGTGAAAATCTCATTCTTATGAGACCCAGAAAGAAACTGGATTTAAGATGACACACAAAGGACCGAGAGGGAGAGTGTACTGTAAGGTCAAAACTGCGTGGATTTTTGACTCTTACATTTCTTTATGAATTTTAACTAGAACTCTGTTTGCTTTCTCGGGGACCACAAGGCTTTTACAGGCACACAGCAGCACAAGTGCCGAGGTGGAAGGAGGTTTGGCAGTGGCTCTCTTCCCATCCACAGGCCAAGAGCTTGGAGCAGCGGCACGTGCTCACTTCACTACTGTTTTCCCCACTGCTCACAAAAAAACGCCTCCTTAGGTTAAGAATATAGAAAAATGAGAATTTAACTTTTTATTTGTATTTATTTTTCGCTTCAGACCAGTGGAAACATCACTGAAAATGTCTTCCATCTGTGGACTCAGAGGTATTTATTGCTTTCTACTTTTTTTTCCTCCAGAGGATCCTGGGGAACTTCACATGGATTGGGTCACTTCATAGGTAACATCTCTTGTCCACTAAGTAATCAGCCCATGCTGCACAGAAGTAACTTTGTCATGATAGAATCAGATCACAAGACCCTTGATGGAAAAGATACAAACTGAATGAGGGAACTTTAATCATTTCATCTCATATAATTGTTGATTTTAAAAATTATGTTTAGTAGTTTATCAACAAATATGACAAATGCCCTCATGATTTATCTATCTTAACTTAAATGTTATTTTTATCAAAACGAATCAGTTCGGGGCGCCTGGGTGGCTCACTCCTTAAGCGTCTGCCTTCGGCTCAGGTCATGGTCCCAGGGTCCCGGGATCGAGCCCCACATCGGGCTCCCTGCTCAGGGGGAAGCCTGCTTCTCCCTCTCCCACTCCCCCTGCTTGTGTTCCCTCTCTCGCTGTGTCTCTCTCTCGGGCAAAAAATAAATAAAATCTTTAAAAAAAAAAACCCCGAACGAATCAGTTAGAAATCTTCTGGTCACAAGTGATAGAAGCCTTAATCCACTGAGCAGGGGCCCATTCAGGGAGAGGTGGCGTCCCCCAGCTTGGGCTCCCCAGCCTCCTGGCCACTGCCCTGGGAGCTGGCCTTTGCACCCTCTGCCAGAATGCAACTCTGCTGGGGTCCCAGGGAGACAAGGACATCTCAGGGCTCCTGCTGGAGGGGGCAAGGGAGCCCCACTGGTCCTGAGGGCCAGCACACGTCCCCTAAGACCTCCCGCTGGAGATCAGCTTGACGATGCGCACTGGGGGGCTTAGAGTGGCCAGGGCCTGGGGCTGGGGCTTCCACAGTCCTGGGGGCCCCTTCAATTCCTCCCATCCCTTGGGGCCACTTTTTCATGGCTGAGCTCTTACATTTTCTTTGTCATCTTCTTTTTTTATTTCCATAATCAATTTTATTTATTTTTTATTTTATTTTATTGTGGTCAGAACACTTGAGATGTACCCTCTTGACAGACTTCCGAGGGGAGAGCACAGCACCGTTGGCCACAGGCAAAGGGCCGGTGCAGCTCTCCGGACTCGTTCATCCTGCACAACTGAAGCTTTCTCCCTTGAACGGCACCCGCCCTCCTTCCCCCCTGCCCTGACTCCCCCCTTCCGCTCGGCTTCCCTGTGCTGGACCACTCTAGGGCCCTCACGGCAGGGGAACCATGTGGCGTTTGTCCTTCTGTGTCTGCCCCGTTCCATTTAGCACAGTGTCCTCTGGGTTCACCCACACTGCGGTATATGGCAGGATTTCTTTCAAGGCTGAATAATACCCCACTGCATGTAGACACCACATCTTCTCTCTCCGTTCGTCTGTTGGTGGACATGACGTGCTATCCCATCCTGGCTCTTGGGGCTGAGCTTTTCTTCTCTGTTCTCTGTGGATGAAGCTGCGCCCAGGCCGGTGTCACTGCTCTGTGTATCACCGTAGCAACCGTGAGGTGAGTGTGGGAAGCTCTGGGATCCCAGCGTTTCTGACCCCCCTCCCGATCCTTCCAGGCCAGAGCCCGTGAAGCTAGGGCTCAGACGCATCCCAGATGTGCCCCATCCGATGTGGCACCTGGACCTCTGCTGCGACGGTGGCCATGCCTCTCATGTTGGAGTCTGCAATGTCAGCCTGCATGTGCACACTGGGACCTTCCAAATTTGGAAAACTGATGGTTTTGTCACTTTAGGAAAAAAGGGAATATAAATATTTTCTCTTGCCTCCTGGGAGGATTAAGAAAATAAAGTCTTTGCCATCATCAAGAAGAAAGGAACTGGATTTTACAGGTCATAGAAAACTCTTTTACAACTGGGGAGAGTCAGCGTGTCAGATTGTGGGGTAGGAAGCCCCTAAGGGAACCGGGAAGGAAAGAAGCATTTTCCTGAAACAG